CACATGAATTGACAATTACCCTTTTTGTTTCCACAGGTATAAAGCAGTAATTGATGCTTGCTGTCTTCAGCCTGATATTGACATACTACCTCATGGAGACCAAACACAGATTGGAGAGAGGGTTAGTGACTATGTATAATTATAAAGCATTAAGCACTCAAAGGTTATCACATGGTCTTAAATCTATAACTGGTGTTTGTGAAAATGGCTTTGTACAGCAAACTCAGTTTCAGATCCTTAGGATGAAGGTTTATACAGTACTTAATACACAGTGTTACAGCCTTTCTTCTATCTGCCATATCTCAACATCTCTGGTGTCTCTAGCACTGACTGAAATACTATATTGGGAAAGTATATTTAGTAAACAAAACAACATTTTTTTCATTATCTAGAAAGCATTTATGACAGTTATGTTAGAATAGTCCAATTAAAGTAAGAAGTAGAAAGGCACTTGTTAAAAAACATGGAATATATTTCCTTACTGAAGGCTGAAATAATGAAAAAAGAAACTTATTCTGCCTTAGGTACCAATGACAATTTTCTCATAATCTAGAAACTCAAATATTCAAACAGTTTGGGTCATCTAACAGCAATAATCTAGATTTGTTATTCATTATTCATCTAGACATTTCATTCATTGCTTCAGTAGATCTAGATTTGCAGTTGATGTTCTTTCATGGACATGGTAGTATCAATAGAACATATAAGGGCTAAAATACAATATTAAAAGATAAAGAAAAATATTAGAATGTTAGAGAATGTCCAAGGAACAATAGAAGACATTGAGGCTGAGCTATGCCACAGAAGTTTACCTTTGATATGTTAATTCTTTGCAACATCCATGTTAATGTATAGAATTGTCAAAGGACAGCTATATGAACTATTGCATTTTAACTTGCATTGATTTATATAATTTCTAAGTCATGAATACAATAATCCTGACTAAGCTGTTACCTCAGTCTTACTTTTCCAGCTGTATCTTGGGAATAATTACCATTGATTAATGGGATGAATAATTGAATGATGAAATACATTGTATTTTAGAAATAATATATACATTATTCAGATATAATTAGGGTGTTTTTTTAGAATGAGTATGTAAATTCTGATTAACTTGATTAATAACTTTTGATACTTTTGACTGGTTTACCTTTTAAGCATACCTTGAAATGTACGGTTGGAAAGCATAATTGGAACAATAATGTCTCAAAATTGTATAGGTTTCTAACTGAATTATTTTATCTTTTCCCCAAGGGTATTAATTTATCTGGAGGTCAGCGCCAAAGAATCAGTGTAGCAAGAGCTCTTTATCAACAGACAAATGTGGTATTTCTGGTAGGTTTACTGTTACTAATTCTATCATCTAAACCGAAAAGGCTTTCTTTTCTCTATAAATGACATTCTTCAACCTAAAAACCCGACATTCCAAAATTCCTCGACTAACAACAACCAATTCTATCAAGAATTCATATTCTGGATCCTCAAAGTCAGTAGAATATTTTCCCCAGTATGATGCCAGTTCCCAACATCAGATACATCTAAGACCATCTGTCCATCTGAGTGTACAGATGAATTCTAGAAATAATTCTCCATTGTTATTTGTTCCATTTATTTCATTTAGTCTATGATAAACTAGACCGTAGACATCACAAATTACTACTCACAATTTGCTGTAGTCATAAAATGACTACATAATGCCCTCCAGGGGAACGTTGCTATGATAGAGAAGATGCACTCCTGGGGTCCCAGTAGATGACATTGTTTAAAATGAAGGAACCCAGAGCTTCTAACCCTATCAGAATGGTCATTAAACAAGGCAGTTGCTAAACAAGAACTACCTGTAATGGCACAGGGCCAGTTATTTGCAGGACTGACTGCCTCCCCTTATTTCTGATGCAGTAGGCATGTTATTGTCTATTAATTAGGCAATGTCATCTAATGAGATCACGGAAGCATTCCTTCTCTGTCATGGCACCTGTCCTATGGATCCCCATATGTCTAGAGATTTGACCCTGACCTTGCTGGCATTCCATAAGACTTTGAAAAACTGTTTCTTTCTTAAGTATTGGGCCATCTTGTTGGTTTTGTTTTGATATTTGTTGAATAATTCAAAGCATATTGGGTAGTCTTTTTTAAATTGGCTTTAAGTTCTTTTCCTATTTTGTTTCTGTTTCTGTTGTTTGTTAATTGTCCAGAGTCATGTGCTAAGTGGATGTCTATATTAATTACTGTAGTTTAAGTGCAGGCAAGGACCCAACTTAAAGCACAAAAGTGGTTATTACAAACATTGTATACAACAAATAGTCCTTGCATGTGTGCTTTTAAGGCTTCTGCCATGTGAACCCTCTCTGTCTCAACTGGGCTTTATTAATATTCCCAGCTAGCCCAGCCTTGCAATCTGCCATTTGCAACTCAAAATCTTAACTCACTGCTTCTGAACCCTTAGACAGCTCACTGAAGACAGATTCCTTTCCTCAAAGGCAGTAATGGCATAGTGAAACCCATCCCCTAGAGCAGGGGTAGGCAACCTTGGCTCTTTTATGAGCACAGCTGGCTCAGGAATTCTGGGAGTTGAAGTCCACGAGTCATAAAAGAGCCAAGGTTGCCTACCCCTGCCCTAGAGGGACAATTTGATGCCTAAGTTAGCAAACTCCTTTCCTTCAGGCTGAAAAAAGTGAGATTTTTTTTTTAATTCTTGAATTGTCTCCTCTTTCTCTCTTACCTAGTTTTTGTAAATTGGTTATTTCCAGTATCCATATCTCATCCCAACCCATCTTGTCAGCAAGCACTAATTTTAATTCTCCTAAAATATTTAAAAAACAGAAAAACTATAGTACAGTAGTACTGAAATATCATTAGTTGGTAACATCTATTTTCTTGTTTAGGATGATCCATTTTCAGCACTAGATATCCACTTGAGTGATCATCTCATGCAAGAAGGAATTCTGAATTTGCTAAGAGCAGACAAGAAAACCATTGTTTTAGTTACCCACAAACTACAATATCTGCCCCATGCTGACTGGGTAATGAAGCTTCTTTATACTGACTTGTTAATCTTAATATTATGTTCAAAATATTGAAATGGTGTGTAGGTGTAATTCAGCAAATACCTTTAAATTGTAAAAGTATTATTAAGTACTTTTAAATTGTTCTGGTAAATTGTGCCCACTGCTACATAAGTGTGCTTAACTTTGGTTTTTATGCCTCCACCTGCCTTTAGTAGTGTTATTATATTACTGCAACCCTGGTAGATATTTGTTTTGTAACTTGGAACTGTTATAGATCCTAGTAATCCTACCCCAGATGATGCTATAACTCTCAGGGCAATTCATGCTTTATTTATTAATCTCCGATAAATAATGCAAACAACTATAAACAGCAAAATACATGTCTCATTTGCATATTTGCATGTTTAGGACCATATTTATTTGCATTAAACAGGAAAATAGGAAACTTCCCTATCTCTTCCATTACATTTAAATTATTTATAGAAATGTAGATCTATTTATGGTCTAGCTTTTAGGGTATTGCCCTCTTGGTATGATGATAATAAGAGAGAAAATATATAATATAAATTAAACTAAATTCATAATTATTTACAAAGAGTCCTGGTGATGCAGTGGTTAAAGTGCAGTGTTGCCAGCAAATCCTGCCCACAGGCTGGAGTTCAATTCTGCCGGCTCAAGGTCAACCTTCCCAAAGTCAGTAAAATGAGGACCCAGATTGTTGGGGGCAATATTTATTTATTTATTTATTTATTTATTTATTTGATTTGATTTATATCCCGCCCTTCTCCCAACGGGACTCAGGGCGGCTCACAACATATTAAAAAACATAAATACATTTGCTACCCCACCGAAGTAAAACCAATTAAAACCAAATATTTAAAGTTGTGCTGTTTAAAAATCACTCCTAAAATAAACCCGATTTAAAATCCTCCCTAGGCCAGGCCCGCTTGCTGAAAAAGCC